ACAATAAATAAATTACATATATTAAACTTAATGAAGTACACAGGCTAGAAAACAATATGTAATGTACTATTGCAAAACTATGTATAATAACTATGCATATCCTTATGACCCATAATTTTTTATTTATTTATTTATTTTTTTGCATTAGTAGCTAAACAATAACTCATTTTGGGTTTTCAAATAAGGCGTGAATTAATGACATGAAGTACTGCATGCTAATCTATCAGTTTGGTTTAGTCCAAAATCTGAGCTGGTACTACCCAACAAAATGCCAGGTACTACAGTATATACTTAAGTATGTAGTGTAAGAATAGAGTACATACTAAGCAACATGAGATACCGTATATGTTACCAGTTAATCTTGATTTAGGCAGGGAAAACTCAGGGCCATGAAAGAATTCTAATATTTATAAGGGCATCTAGCATGATAAAGTACTATAAGACATTATGTACTGTAGTATTTATTTATTTTCATTTATTCAAAACTTAATACTCCTCATCCACTAACTAGTGGAGGCAGATTTGAGAATTATGTGTTTGATAGTTAGGTGTAATTCAGTAGGTCCTCTGCAGCAAAGAAAGGACAGAGCAGCATTAACATTACAATGATAAATGCTGATTTGGTGTTTTAGCACCTTTTCAATCTTTCAAACTCTATGAAAAGGTGGTGGAACATATTATTATCTCCGCCTCACACTGTTCAAATGACATAATTGCCTCCTTTTTTATGGATGGCCTTATGCTCCTGTCATGCCTGCCCATGTCAACCTGACATAATGCGAACACTGGTAAACTGTCAACTTACATCTTTAGTTACATTTAACTGCTCTGAAAAGTCGTGAGTTTGTGTCATAAGCATCACTAAGATGCCTACAGAGACAGTGTGCTCTCAAAGAAAGGCTTGTTCAGTGACCTTCTAAACATTTTGGCAATCATATCACCTGCTAAGTCACATTATAGAATTTCCATCATCCAAGTGTAATTACTGTAATTGGCACAACTCAAAAGCTAAACCTAGAGAACATTTATTTCATAAACATTCATAAACTATAATAACTAAAACTCCTGTAGATCAATAGCAAAATTCCAAAAGCACAGAGTTCCTGAGGGCTTCTGGGAACTAAAAACTACATGAACAATTGTTAGTTCATTGTCATTTGATGGAACCATCAACCCTGTTGTATTTAATATCTACCAGTGTTGTATTAATATTCTCATTCATTCATTCATTCATTCATTCATCTAGAGTGCTTAATCCTGGTAAGGGTCACCGTGGACCTGGAGCCTATCCCAGGAACAGGATCTTCTCTTTCTGTATTTGTACCCATTTAGAACATTATCTATTCAATTCAAGCAACATAATAATACATGTCTGTCAACACAAACAGTGTCCAAGTGCCATCTGTGTTGAGAGCATCAGCTGCAAAGGTAAGAAAGTAGGTAAAAAAATGTAGCTATCAGTGTTCGCACATGTCTATTAAAAACAAAAATTTATCAAAGTATTGCACAGACAGGTAGAGGACAAGTGGATTTGCTTGTAGAATTTCTGCTGATGGAATAAAAATCAAGATCAATAGGAATGACCAATCGATGCCACTATTAGCACTATTACTCTAATGCATTATGTGGAAAATGCAGTCATAGTCTTTGTTTGCAGTACTCCCTTAAATCGTCCAGTTTTTAATCAGTTACTCTTTCTTTACTCTTGCTTTAATTAATGTAACACATCTGATTGAATTAATCAAACCACTTCGAAGGATCTGAATGTGAGAAGCAAGTGTAATGACAAGACTTGCAATAAAACTGTAACTAAATTGTACATGATTGCTGCAGATATTCTGTCAAAACCTTTTGTTTAGTGTTAACACATATATTACTGATTGTTATCTGTTGGGGGAAAAGGTATATTTTTGCAATGCTTGTGTTGCTACCAATCTTTCAATCTGTTCTGTTCATAATTGCTGACTGAAAATGTTTTCACATGTTTTTATATTCCTCTATCTTGTTGCTATTGTGTGTGCTCTGAGCCACAATAGCAACAAGACTATTATATTCTGCCAAACAGTTGTGTACAGTACATAGAAAGTACATACAGTACATGTTGATATTGAACACACAAACCATCAAGTATTTGAAAGGCTCTTTCTGCTGCATCATTACAGAGAAAAGACTGGAGCCTAGTGGAGACTACAATCACTACAGTTATTTGACATTCAGGTTACTCTGACCTTTTAAAAAAAAAAAAAAGCTGCAATTAAAAAAAAAAAAAACCTCATGGAAACAAGCTACATGCCCCAAAACACACACACACACACACATACACAAACAAGGTGGCCACACTTACCTTCCTTTTCCCATGCGACAACGGCGGCTACATCTCATTTTGCCACCTTGGTTTACAAAAAAGAGAAAATGAAAGAAATGGCATTTTCATATTGAAATCTTGTGAAAAGTGAAAAAGTTTCACAATTATTCATGTATTAATCAGTACCACTTTGGGGCTAAACTAAAGATACCAGTTTTTATTAAAAAAAAAACCACAACCTTGCTATTCATGTTTCCCCCCTCCCCACTTTTTCTCTTTAATTTGGTCATTTGCTAATTCCCACCCACTAGATGTCCCCTATATAACAGCTACCAGGTGGTAAGAATGAAGGCTAACACATGCTTCTTCTGAGTCTCTGCATCTTCTGCACATGCTCAGAGCAAAGTGCCAACCACTCTCTTCTGCATACAGGAGCTCACAGATACCCATGATTAGCTAGTGTCACTCTGATTGACAGGAGAAACTAATACTGTCACTCCCACACAGACAACACAGCCAATTTTGCTTTCTTGCTTACATCCACTCACTATCTCCCAATGACAGAGAGAACACTTTTCTGTTGTGCCACTCAGGTGATTCCTATTCATAGGTTTTAATTTTGTGCTTTTTGCATATTATGATGACAGATGTATTCATTTGTATTCATTTTGGGCCTAATCATTTTTCTATATAGCAGTTAAAAGATTATTGATTTACAACAATAAAATGATAACAATTGAATAAAACACTTGGAGCGGTGCTGTTATAGGAAAATAATCGGCTACAGGGTGGTGTCATGCAGACCAATGCAATACAGAGTCACTGTTACCATCCAAAAGTTTATTTTCCAATAACATCACAAAATGTTTTATTCCTCCACAAAACAATGGACAAGGGGGGACTTCTTCCAGAACTGCTAAATGTCTCCTCACACAAAGCTTCAAAAAAAAAAAAAAAAAAAAAAA